CCAAATTAATTGCGTGCCATTGATCTGAAAAAAGAGGTGTGGTGAGGCAAGAAATTTCATCAATATTGGTATAAACAATTCTTTAATCATTCTGTAATCAACTCTGTAATCATCCAACATGGATTTCTAGTTGATAGTAATGAAGTGTTAGCTGATTAGATTCGATGAGTGTCGATGGGACTTGAATAATTCATGTTCGAATGAATGAGTAAAACAATAATATACTAGTAATTAAATTTCGAGCTCAACAGCAATTGGGTATTGTGTTTTGTCGTTACTGCATGACTTTATTTGACTATGCTAACCCTGCATGGTATAGTAACATAAACAAGTCAGATCAAAAGAACTTGAAGATTATACAGAACAAAATGGTGAGATTTATCAACTGTTCTGGTCCAAGAACTCATGTTGGCTACGGTGAACTTTCTAAAGCTGGTTTTCTTGAAGTCGACCAAAGATCAAAACAACTCGTATTGCATCACGTGTATATACAATATATCATACTAGGTCGAATCATTATATTCGATCCAACTTCGATCTTGTTACTGACGTACATGATTATAATACCAGAAATAGCCGATTCTTTAACTTTAACTTACCAGAAAGAGTAGGTAGTATTAGAAATTCGTTTTATTACAATGCCATAAAACATTGGAATTCCCTTTCCAATAGTGTAAAGGAAATAGAAAACTATGCTCATTTTAAGAGAAAATTAAAGGAATACCTGATACTTGCAGGCGCGGATCCAGGGGGGGGGCCAAGCGGCCCCCCCCCGCAAAAAAAAAAGAAAAAGAAAGGAGAGAGAGAGAAGGAAAGAAGGGAAAGGGAAAGAGGAGAGAAAGGAAAAAAAGAAGAGGAAGAAGAAAAGAAAAGAGGGAAGAAGTAGATCGGGGGGGGGGGCAAAAGGATTGGCTCCCAGGCTGTTGCCCCCCCCCCTCCCCCAAAAAAATAAAATAAATAAATAAAAAATAAATAAATAAAAATAAAATAAAAGAGAAGGAGAAAAAAGGGAAAGAAAAAGGAAAATAGGAGATACAGGGAAGGAAAAAAGAGGAAGAAGAAAAGAAAAAAGGGGGTATCAGTTGCAATTTTCCCGCCAACAACTTGTGGATCGGGGGGGGGGGGGGGGCAAAGGAAGGAAGAGAACGTAGGAAAAAAAACTGAATTTAGACAAAGATTAAGAGTCGATAACGACACAACAAATCGTCTTCTTTCTCTAATGATTTAATGAAACGTAAGCTTCCGCTTAGCGCGGGAAGGGGAAAACTAAATTCAGACGAGGATTATTTTTTGGGAACGGTACAACAAATCGTCTTCTTTCTCTAATAATTTATTGAAATGTCAAAGCTTCCGCGTTTCGCGGAGGAGGAGGAGGGGGAAACTCGCCCCTCCCTGCACCCACCCACCCCCAAATACGTCACTGCTGGTCATCATTACGAACCGATATTTGGCTCGCATAATTTCAAATTTTGCCCCCCCCCCCTAAGAAATCCTGGATCCGCGCCTGATGTATATACAACGGCAACAGTTTCTATATAAAATGTAAGTTCTTCTTACTTAAATCATTGGTCTGGAAACAATTATTTGCCCATTGTGGTGTATTGTATTACATGTTCACTGACAATGAATTCACATTGTAATGCAATTTTCAAGTTTCCCAGGCTTATTTAGGAGAACAGAAGATTGATATTGTTAAGTTGTACGATAACATCACTCAGTTTGATTTGATTGGAGATATATCTTATTAAATACAGAGTAAAGGCTATACAGTATCAAACAAACCTACACCATTTAACTTCAAGCTCACTCACACATGATTTATTGCGACACTTTCAAGGCTACTTATTATTTCAAGTTCATGCATATACAAAGTGCAACAGCTTCAATATTAAACGTAATTAAATCATTGGTCTGGAAATTGTTAATGCCCATTGTTGTATATTATACAACATTTTCCATAACGATGAATATACATTGTATAATGCAATTTTCAGGAAAACCATACTTGTCATTACTGTTATATTTGTATGATACTAAAGCAAATCGTTTCGCTTATCGATAAGATAAATCAATGTGAAGTTCGTGTCAAATAATGAAATCATTACGTGCTATTTTTAACCGGACTAGACATTTGAAATGTATAAAAAATGTATACACTATTGACAGCAAGCAAGTTTTTTAAACAAATAATTCAGAAATTGAACAACATTGCACATTTTAGTCTACACGGCATGCTCTACACCCTTAGTTGGACTGTAAACGTCCACACAGGTCACATCGCGGTGACACGACATTTGCTCCTGCGACAATTGCTCCGGGCTTTATTTCGTCTAAGATGTAGGGTTAGGGTTAGGGTTTCAATAGGGTTTTATGTTAGGTTTAGGGTTAGGTTTAGGGTAGGGTATAGTGTTGAATCCAGGTTGAAGTTAGCCATTCGATTAGTGTATGAAATTTACAGCGGAGCAATTGTCGCCGGAGCAAATGTCATGGAATCCACATCGCACCCATGGAGGTTTTGGCCCGAATTTACAAAGGAGGTTTGTCGACAAATCTAGGTTTATGTGCTTCATATGACGCGTTTCGATGCGTTTCAGACCAAGGTTTAGACAGACCTTCGTCTGAAACGCGTATTATGATGCACATATTACATAAACATAGGTTTGTCTACAAACCTCCTTTGTGAATTCGGGCCTTTGTGATTTCGGGCAGGCGCGTACGCAGGGGGGGGGGGGGGGGGGGGGGGGGGGGGGGGGGGGGGGGGGGGGGGTTTGGGGGGTTAAACCCCCCCTTTGGAAATTTTTTGTGTGTAAACCCCCCTAAAAAAAACCTAAACCCCCCCCCCCCCCCCTTTTGGATTTTTTTTTTTTTTTTTTTTTTTTTTTTTTAATTATTAAAAAAAAAAAAAAAAAAAAAAAAATTATTCCCATGGCCGACCTAAAAAAGGTGACCTTACCCCCCCCCAACGGAGCAAAATGTCAAATTTCCAAATTTCGAGACCAAAAAAAAAAAAAAAAAAGTGTCCTCTTACCCACCCCCCCCCCCCCCCCCCCCCCCCCGCCCGCTTATTCAGCGGCTGGCTGAGTCGTTGCGAAATTTTCGGACCGATTTATAAATGTTAAAACCCCCCCCCCCCCCCCCCCCCCCCCTTGAAAAAATCCTGCGTACGCGCCTGATTTCGGGCCTTTGTGTCTGTGTCCTTCCCTGGCTTTTCACACGACACATTTGCTAGTAAGCGCCTGTTCCCCCTTTGTCCACCCAACCAATTTTTTCAGATACCCCACTGATAATGTTCATGAAGCATTTGAAAAGCATTGGAACAGACTTATATTATCATAAAAAATACAATTTCCTATAGTCGTTCATACCATTTCCACCCTTTATACAGTATTCAAGTTATTGATATGCTAGAAAATATGACGTCTTCTGGTGCATATCTGAAAAATAAAAATCGTTTGCCTCATTGAGGGTATCTGATATTTTTCCTGAGGGAGGGGGGAGGGGCGGGGGGGGGGGGGGGCTGGTCTGACTGTGCCCATTTATATATATATAGGACACTCTTCGCTTTGTTAGTTTTAAAAAATGCATTAATTGTACATGGAATAGCTAGGCTGCCACTATTATATAGGCTCATTTAGGCCAGCCAATTGCATTATAGGGCTTGATAATAATGAGCACTTGCTCTCTCCCCCGGCGTGGCGTTTGCCAGATCTAATCATTCACACCTTCACTGGGGTGGTTCTAGGTTCTAGGATGTTGTTAAAGTCAGATAAGAGAAGTGAATGACATGTTATATGATTGAAATTTGTCTTCTTCTGCCGGTTCATACTTTTTCATTTTGTATATACTTATGTTTTCGTACGTTATAGAAATTCTACAAATTTATCATTATTTTCCTCTTCTTCCTCCTCCTCTTTTTTTCCTTCTCCTTCTTCTCCTTTTTCCTTTTCTTCTTGTACTTATTATCATTTCTATCATCAGTTTAATGTTGTTAGTATTATTATCTTTAATAAGTAATTCTTTTTTTTTTTTTTTTTATCTGTCTGTAAATATTACTATTTTAAGTTATTAATTGTATTCATGTCTGTAAGGGACCCCATTGTAAATAAGCTCTCGAGCTTTCGTGGGTTATCCTGTTCTTCTTCTTCAGAAGCAGTACAGGCCACCGTCAGGTGTATTTTCGTACTGTTGAGGTGCAATGCAGATGTGTGTACAATGTCTGATAATGGCTAGGTACAGTTGACTGAGTGCGAGTAAAAACAGCTACCATTTTAGCTGTTCAACTTCAAGCTGACTTAATTATTTCTGATCTGTTATTATTGTATATTGTTGTACGTTGGAAGCTTGTCGAATAAAAATCAATCAATCAATCAAAGTGGTACGTTTTACCAGTGCTGGTATCTCTTTGGTTCAACTTTCCCCAAGAGTTTGACAAGCAGAGAGAGAGAGAGAGAGAGAGAGAGAGTAAGAGAGAGAGAATTAAAGAGATTAGGAGAAAGAGAGAGCTAGAGAGAAGTTATTGTGCATTTTTAAAGGGTTTTCCAATTTTTTAAAAATATAATTATAGCAATCGTCCACAGTCCACACCAATGTATGCTCAGCTATACAGCTCTCAGCTCTGTTTTGCACGAGCAGCACTTTTTCCCACGATATCAATGTCAAAGGCATTTAGCATGCCACGCAAGCCTGATATTTCATCATCACCATCCTCATCCTCATGTCTATACGTCGAATCGCCCCAATATCATCACAGCCAAAACATTATCGACCCAAAATTAGTTTACCCAAAAATGTTATGGGGATGGAACTGATTAGTTTTCAGTTACTTTAGTAGTTTTAATCATAATCATAACAAACAATGTGTATGTCTCATGACTCATTTTTCAGAACTATGGTATTCTAACAGTCTGGAAATAAACAATTTTGCGAAAATACATACGAATGGCGATTCAGTTGAGGGGCGAATTCGTACTGGTGAACGTCGACATATGCTGCGTACGTACGTACGAGTCTACAGTAATACGTGAACGTGAACTAGAAGTGCTCTTTGGATGTCTAAAGACGGGGTCATAAAGCTCAAGTTTTTGACATAAGTTGTTGTCGGAAAGTTGTGTAAGTTAGAATAAATGCTTATATCTCTTTACCCTCTTTGCCTCTTTTACTTGACATTATTAATGAACAACCAAAATTGGTATGATCTGTTCAAGTCGATTCAAGAAAACGAGCTCTCGTTTCTAGCTATGCGGCCAGCCGAAGCTCCAGGCGGGCGTAAGGGACAGCTATCGCTGGGTCCACCATCCACCTGCTCCGAATTATTTTAAATAGACTAGAGTCTAGTGCAGTTTGCAGCGGTTGGTCCAAGTCTTAGTCTTAGAGACGGCCTTTGCCTGGGGAGTCTGATGAAAATAATTAGATCTACTATGTACTGTAATAAATGTAATAAACATTAATTTTCTTTGTTATTGACGATGGGAATGGGATAGGGTCTAGTCTAGATTCTTGTACTACTAGATTCTGTAGATCTAGATTCGTTTGGAGTTGAGCTATTACTCGGACCCGGGGACAACTCTGCTCACTGCTAAAACGGTCAGTTTTTGCAGGTATAGGATTTAGGGTAAAATGACAAAAAATGACCATTTTGCAGCAGGCCGAATTGTCCCAGGGTCCGAGTTAGCCCGGCCCCATTTGTTTCATTCAGGGGATGTATACAAACATATTTAATGATGGAAAATATAATTTTTTTTAGTGCAGGGCAAATCATGGGATTGGGAGGGACCTAGCTAGTCATAATTATGAAAAAATAAAATTCCAATTAAAATTCCCGTAATGGCGATAGATGTATACTGATTTATCTTATACATCATATATGCAAAGCAAATTCACTGAGAACTTACCCTAAATCACAAATTTAATTAATAAAGAGATTTTTTTTTGCCAAAAATGGCACTGCCACTAATTGCCCACTTCCGTACGCGAAATCTCTCAAAATTGAACCCGGCCGGGGCGGGAAGGGTATCATTAGCACTGGTATGTTCTATCGCTGAAAGCTTGTGGGCCTCTGGAGTTGTCAACATTCAATCACAAATTACATAAGCTTTCCGATAATACCACACTTTAAGGTGGTCCCTACCGGTCTCATAGTTCATTTCGTAAAAACAGCACAAATAATCGCTCATACACGGTCAAAATTGCTCTTACTACTGAGCTCAAAGGTGATTTTGAAGACAAAGACAGATCGGGTTGACGGTGATTCTGATGTCAGAAGCTTTGTAAAGTTTTCCAAATAAGGTAAGTGCTTATAAATATTCATGAGAGGTGAATCACAAATAAAGAAAGTGAAATTCATCCGCCCCTCGTATTGGCACACACTGCACAAAAGCATGTTCGCTGGTGACAAAGAGTCCAATGCAGCCAGAGGGTGATTTTGCAATATCGCCCTCATGCGGTCATTAGGGACCCTAACCTAGCAAGAGACATCACAGAGTTGCCAATTTGTGTTTGATGGATTGCACCTTCAAAAATTCATAACTTTCTCATCTATAATCGTTTTTTTTGCTCAAACTTCCATTGACATGTTATCTCATTTTCCACTTCTATTAAAACCAAATTAATATTGGGTGGAATTCCCCTTTAAGTGTACTCTACACAAAGACAGAGATGTAAAACTAAAAGTAACCAGGGTATTGATTTTATATGTAGGCTTCATCTGTGCACAGGAAGAAGCATCCTCCTTTGGCAACTGTGCCTTTGATACACAGTACTCGAGTGAATTCAAACTTCAAAGCGATGTGGAATCCTACAATGGCCAGTTTTGCAAGTCTATCCCGTGCTGTGAGTGCAAGCACAACAGCAACACACCTAAAGACTCTGCTCAATCCTGAAATCAGCTTCTTACAACAGTCTCGACTACTGTTCAGTAACCTGTCACATCGGAATAGCCAAGCACCGACAACAGCCAGGACTGGTATCAATGATGGACACCTTCAAAGGTTGTCCACTCATAACCTTATTGCAAATAGTATGTCTTCCCTGAGGTCCGTATCAACGACTGCAGGGTGTAAGAAGTCGGCGACGTCGAGAGCGGAGCTGAAGAGCAGCAAAAGGATAGTCCTGAAGCTAGGTAGTGCTGTGATCACAAGAGACGATGAGTGTGGGTTGGCCCTAGGTAGGCTGGCTTCCATCGTAGAACAGGTGAGTCAATGGAAGTGATTATACCAGGGGGATTTGAGTGGGACCTTCCTGATTAAAGAGAATCTTTCATTCCCTTCCGGAATGTTATCGATACATAATATCTAGGAACTAAAAGAGGTGATTTGTTTAGTCATGTGCAAACAGAGTGGCAACACCAGTTGAATTCCCTGGTTCACTGTTTGTAATTATTTGATACGATTTCAGGAACTAAGGCAGATGATTTTTCGGGTTCAGTATGTACATGAAATAGGCATCTAGTATAACATGTCTTTCATCATTTATATTTAGTAGCAACTATTTAACAAAATATTTTACGAGTTTTATTATAGAATGATGATAGTGAAGGTTTCTTGTATAGCGCAGATCACTTACATACTGTAAGTAACGTCTAAAGATGTGCCCGTGGAAAAAATCGTACAAGGGATAGATGAGGAAATGAACAAATGTACATCATATTGATGCTCGGTGCATACAATGTATGGAAATTAACCATAAAAAAAAGAAGTAACAACTTTAAAACTTCAAACAAGAAATTTATTAAAATAAAGCAGCCTTCGTTCAATGGCATTATAAACATAAAACTTGGTAAACATACTTGACATAAATGCCTTTCTACCTCCTCTCAGCTTGCCATATGATGCACTTCATCCTCTGTGTAGGGGTGAACAGAAGAGCCAGACATACATGTAGTCTTCTAAAGAACGACCGTTATGACTGCAGCTTTCGTTCTATAACTACATGTAACATACAGTACTGTAGCTTTGATCCTATTGTTCCACAATGTGCATTTACAGGTTTCAGAGCTCCAATCTTCAGGCAGACAGGTCGTACTGGTCACCAGTGGAGCTGTGGCATTCGGGAAGCAGAGGCTACGCCATGAAGTCATGCTGTCAAAGAGCATCAAACAAACTCTTGCCCCAAATTCTTCTGTGAGTTGCCCTTTTAATGTTTCATGATCGTGACTTATTCTACTTGCATGTGATACAGTCTTCCTGTGTACTTCAAAAAAGTTATTACCAGCATCTTGCATGATACATTTTTCTTCTTGTCCATCTGTAGAAATTAAGACGCACAGTCATGCTTTTCAAAGAAAAACAACCATTCATAGTTTAACTTCTTGGTTTAAAAAAAAGGATTTCATCCCACATCATACAAGGGGTTAATATGTGAATGTGTAAGATGTAGTCAATGATGATCAGTAAGTGTGGATTAATGCAAACAGCATTTTGTTTGTCAATGCCTTTCTATAATTGTTTTTAATTTGTCGCTCTTAAATATATTTTAAAACTTGTTATCATAAATGTTCAAGTACATTCATATTACCATAATTTGAAAACATGACTATTTAAAATAATATACATTTAATGTAATATGAATACAATTGAAGTTGAAATCACTTGTTTTTCCTCTATGAATGCAGAGCATTATTCAGATGGATTCAAGAGCCTGTGCTGCTGCTGGACAGAGTGGTTTGATGTCTCTGTACGAAGCTATGTTCTCACAATATGGGCTCACTACTGCTCAGGTAATGATATCAGTTGCTCAGAGCCAAAAGGGCATTTTAAATCTATGTAAAATAGAATATTAATGTCCTTCTGGGGGGGGGGGAACAGATCCTTGTCCCCTTTTCTTCCAAATCTGCATACTTTTAAGTACACAACAGAAATGGTTATTTTACAGACAAATAAGAAAAAAGTACACAAAACAAATTTCAATGCAGAAGGCATGAGAACAATATCGTAGCTTCTTTTTTCCCCACTTTTTTTTAGTTGTCAGATATTTAATTTTAATCATCATGCCCCGCCCCCTTTACAAAATCCTTGACCTACCCTTCAAGTGAGGTGACAGCAAAAAGAAGGATGCTGTTTCAGCCTTTTTTAGGCTTCATGTTGTACAGCTCATATGGGCCTCCGATCTAGTCAAGAGTTTATGTTGAAGCTCACCGGCTGAAAACAATTGGTTTATCAGAAAATGACCTACTGTAGCCATGGTAAACTTGAGGTAAGCCTTATGATAACATCATGAATGGAGGCGCGGTAGCTCAATTGGACGAGCAGTGGTCTCCTAATCTAGTGACCCGGGTTCAAAACCGAGGTGATGCGCTAGTGCCCTTTGATACGGTATTAATCCTCATTACCAGGTCTCTCAGAGAGGACCTAAAGCCGACGGTCCTCTGGTTGCTTACTAACAAGCATTTGTGCTTTATTTAATAGCAGTCAGGTTAAATAACCACCACTACTTTATAACTTGTAACCCTCTACCCCCACAGGTACTGGTGACCAAGCCGGACTTCTACCACGACTACACCCGCAGCAACCTCCGGGGCACCATGCAGGAGCTGCTGCGGATGAACATCATCCCCATCATCAACTCCAACGATGCGGTGGTCCCGCCCCCAGAGGAGGACAAGGACTTGGCCGGGGTAAGAACAGGGGTAAGGACTAATAGTGGTCCACTGATGAGGTCGTCGGACTCGTTGGGGCACTTTTTATACTTTTTTCTCATACACACATAGACACTATCACCCACTTATTGGCTCATAACATGGCAGGACTACACACTCTAGCATAGTAACATGGACAGTTCTCCTTTGATACTGTGCAACTTTTATATTTGCATTATTCCGTTTATAATACTATCCTCTTCTTCCTTTGCCCATCACATTTTAACATCCTTAGTTAGATTCCATTGGTTAAACTCAAGCTTGTATACATGTACATGTACAGTATGTAACCCCATTCAAATTCTAATACTATATTTCAAAAGAAAGTTGAGTTCCAGCCAAGGTGAAACATTTCTCTTATTCTTTTCTTTCCAATGAGAAAGAATATCATAGTAGCAATGTCACATGACAAGAAATACTTTTGCATGCCCTCATATTCTGAATATAAATATAAATAGTATAAAACTTTGGACCAAATTTTGATGCCACATGTATGCATAGTCCCTCATATCCATATATGTGCGCAGTGATTTTTTCACTGCTTGTGATTCTCAGCATGATTGAGTCACTTTGTTCTCCAGAACCTCGCCATACACAACTATTCTTGTTTATTACATAATCAACCTTTGTCAATAACTTTTAGACCGTTTCTTTCACATTCCTCTTTAGTCATTAACTCTTAAGCTGCCACCCATACAATGCACTCAGTGCCACAGTGCTAATCCCTATTGTGCCAGCCACAAATCCCACTGTGTGCCAAGTTAATTTTAGTGTTGGTTCAAGTGCGTGTTTTTAAAAATCTTTATATGTTCGATCCACCATAACTTCTCATTCGTATGTTGTATAAATAAACATTGTACATGAATTTCACCCTCTTTCCATTGATACCAATATCATTTCATCAATTTGTAATTTTGCTGAGGTAAATAAGCATCTCTCGCACCAGATCCGGGTCAATGAAGCATACCCGTTTCTTGCGATGGGGAGGCATAATGATGATATATGATATCAAAAACAAATCGCTAAATTACTCGAGAATATCCAATCTGACTGTTGTAGTCGAAGACGCGTAATCAAAAGCCGTTAATCTGATGCACACGATGGTACTTTCAATAGCGCTGCAAAAGCACTCAGCATGGTGCAATTGGCATAAACAATAACTGATATTACATATGCATGCTAGCGTGCACGAAGCAGACAAGCAGTAGCTCGCTAGCATGAACGTAGCAATCAATCGATAGCGTGCTCGCGGGCACACGGCACTATAACAATAGTGCGCTAGCAGTCTCATGGCAGGATATGAGTTAATCATTTTTCACCTAACATTACAATTTCTCTCTGCTTACAAGTCTTCTATATATTTTAATACAGTCAGTATATGAACTAACACAGAACATCCTTGGGTTCAAGATTGAGAAATTTCAAGGCTTATAAATTTAACTCCTCATATCGACGCATGCTGCTTCATTATGTTATTTTACAAAATATTAAGAAATAATTGATAACAGATCGTAGATATTCTATATTCCACCCCCTCCCTTTCTTGATTTAAGTTTCTTTGTCTTTGAATCTATTTATTTTTCAACATGGGACAGTTCTATCCCCTGTGTATTTATTCACGCTAAAAGCATTCTGCCAACTTTATTATTATTATTTGCCATTCAATATTTCTTACCATGAACAAGATGGTACTAGTAACCTTGAAATGCACATAGTGCTGTATTATCAATAAATCAAGCCAAATTGACCACAGAACATGGTTTCAAGACTGTAGGAAAAGCAGATATGGTACACAGGCTGCTGACATCTAAAGGGCAATCAATCAACACTTGTGATGAGATAATGCATTTTTGGTTCCAGTTTGATAAACTTTCTTGACTTATTTCATGGACCAGTAACCATGACTGACACACTAGGTCATTCCTTAAAAAGGTACAGGGAGAGCCTAGTTCCCCATTTTGCCATAGATATTATATATCAATTAAGAATCTTTTGGATAAGTTTTATGGAGTTATTAATCATAACACATTATATTAAGGTCTTTTGTTTTGAGGACAATGGCAGCCTCGTAGCCTGTCATGCCTTTGATAAAATACAAAAAAGTGATTACTGATGTGTAATATACTTTCTACTAATATTTTATGGAATACTAATCACTATTTCTTTGTTATATAAAAGTCATTAGTATTAAATACAATGACAGCATAGCAGCCCATCTTGCCTTCCATCTGGTAAAAAGCAGAGATAAATAATGTGTAATATACTTTCTCATTATATTTCATGGAATACTAATCATTTATATACTTTGTTATGTAAAGGTCATTAGTATCAAGGACAATGACAGCCTGGCAGCCCGTCTTGCCTTCCATCTGGTATTAACTATTGACTAATGATAAAGTGTAATTAATATTTCACGGATTACTAATCATTTATGTATTCTGTTATGTAAAGGTCATAAGTATCAAAGACAATGACAGCCTTGCAGCCCGTCTTGCTATTGAGATCAATGCTGATCTACTTGTCCTGCTTTCCGACGTCGACGGCATCTTCTCCGCTCCTCCTGGTCAAGAGGGGGCGTCCTTCTTAGATACGGTCTACCCTGGAGACACAGCTTTCATTGAGTTTAAAGGGACTTCTCGTGTTGGGCTTGGCGGTATGGAATCAAAGGTTAGTTGGCTTGTAGGCATATACAGTCAAACCTGTCTATTAAGGCCACCCAAGGGAAACACAAAAAGTGGCCACTATAGACAGGTGACCTCTCAAGACAACCTCTTCAAGACATGTTTCCTCCTTAATGGGGGCAATAAAACTGACCACTATAGACAGGTGGCCTTTGTATAGAGGTGGCCACTAAGGCAGGTTTGACTGTAATATGTTACCATGTTAAACTAGGTCAGGTATCTGCCAATACCTCGACCAAACCAACTCCACACCAAGTCCAAACCAACTGACTCTTGCCAATCTGTGGCTATGTAATTCTTTGTTTGGTCTGTTGTTGGTTGGTGTCGGTCTCGTTGGCGTGACAGGGGATATATACATATAGACAATGCTGCCAGACAAGCATGTTGTACATCTATCAGTACATCATAACTTCAACATTTCTTATTCAAGTATGACTAGCTTGTATAGATTCTGCAGAGATTTGCCCTCTGCATACTTATTGTAATGCAATGTCTTTCTTCTTTAATACTGAATAAACAGAATAGGAGGGGCATTCTCAAATTGATTTGAGGGTTGGGCTTGAAATCCATAGATCCTAGGTTTCAGAATCAACATTTGGAGAAGGCAGATCTATGGACAGCTTGGATGTAGACATAGTCTGTCGGGAAATACACTTTCTTTCTTATGGCAGGCCTTTTACTTCATTTATCACAATAAATTGAATAAATCATTTTACTCAGAACATGATACATTCCAAATATTCATGCATGATTAAGCCACAGAAGGTGACTACTGTATACAAAATATTCTATCACACTGTATAAAATGATCTTTTAATTTTAGCAGAATAATGTGAAATGTTGTAACAAATCAAATTTAGAACATGCCATTTGTTATTGTCTGCGCAAAGCAAAGCTTGTTAATCAAAAGAGATATCTGCGCAAGTATCAATGGTAAGTCTTAGTTCTGTGCATTTTGAATTTGTTATGACAATTTACATAATTTTCTATTACATTAAAGATAACATCGTTTTCAGAATAGGACCTCTGTATGTAACGACAGTGGAAGACAATATATTTAGTTTAGTGAGCAGATGTTTTTTTTTATGGATAGATCGTCTTTTTAAACAGGTGGGTGCTAAAGTATGTTTCACTGTATTTACCACTTGATAGGTCAAAGCAGCCAACTGGGCGCTGGAGCGCGGCTGCTCCGTCGTGATCGGCAACGGCATGAACAGGGACGACATCGTCCTCAACATCCTCAACGGGCGGAAGGTGGGCACCTTCTTCACGGAGACCAAACCCACGGGCGTGTCCCCGGAGATGCAGGCTATAAAAGCCAGAGACGGTGGCAGGCTACTCCAGGCACTCACTTCCGAACAGGTACTACTTATGTCTTAATATCATATACCCGGCCTGTTATATTCTCCTTAATAAATTTTTTACTGCATAGGAACATTATATCTTCATTGAAAAGTATTCATTATCATAATATCACGATAAAGTTGTGAAGATGAAGGAAAGGTATATAATCTGAGGAGATGCAGGCTATCAAAGCCAGAGACGGTGACAGGCAACTCCAGGCACTCACTTCCGAACAGGTACCACAAAGATGTAATAATTTAGTGTTATGGTCTTATTTACGCAAGGTAGCCTTATCAATATCAACATTATTCTTCCAGACGGTCCTGCAATAAATATCTCAGCATTACCAGGTAACCATGTGATACATTTGGGTGAAGAGGGACAAATGAAATATACAAACCAAGCAAGGATCAAATCCAGGACCTTTCTGTAGAATAAATCAAGGGCCTTCACCAATATACTCCTTTGTGGTCACCTCATGATGAAAGCCACATTTTGAGTGTTTATTTATTAACTATTCCCATCATGAGAAAATAAGTGCTGTCTTTCGTGGTCTTTTCATTTTGTAATACCCCTACCGTGCAAATGGAAAATGTTTTCATACTAAAACGGTCTATATTTTTGTCCAGAAGCAGAAACAGTTGCCTTTATATATCAACGAAACAAAGTCACTCTTTGGAGTCCAGTATGAAAATGATGCAGGAATGGTGTTGCCCATGAGGGTTAACCCTACGTTAACTGAGGGGGGGGGGGGGGTCAATTTGACCCCCCCCCCCTGTAGAAATTTCGTGACTACTCCGAAACCGCGGCAGATATAAAATTTTCCTTTCAAGACTTTTTTCTTTTGAGTCTTACGCATCTTTTAAATAATTTTTTCGAAAATCGGACTTATAGTTACAAAGTCACGTGACCTTTTGTCTTCGCATGTCAGCCCGAAAATCGCTCATTTTTGTGATTTGTGTACAAAACATATGGAAATGTCATTTTTCCTAAAAAGAGATAAAACATTGGTTATTTAGTCTTTTTTAAAGTTTAGGTGTTTGTTTTGTGGTCAAAATAGTTGAATTGTAGTTATAAATGAAATAAAACAACAAAAACAATAAAATACATAAGTTAAAAAACCAATGAAATACATAAGAAATTATCAAAACAAGAGATAACATAAGGAATAACCTGGCTCTTCCAATTCTTTGTGTTGTATTATTATTCCAAATGGTCTAACAAATATATGTAGTAAAAAAGAATGCTTAACTATGAATAAAGTATGATTTATGGGCAAAAAATGTGAATTTTATGACCTTATTTGCATAAATTACCATAAATATGCAAATGAGTGAATTTTTCAAATAATTGAAATTACCATAGTATTCTATACAGTTCACTTGACATGTATGCAAATTTTTGTGGCGATGGGCAGTGAAACGGCCGAGATCTTAGGGGGGGGGGGTCAAATTGACCCCCCCCCCCAGAAAAACCTGGTCTGAAATAGCCCAGTTAAAATAGGGTTAAAGACAGGTTTCACTGAAAGCATCAAAAGCTGTTGCATAAGTCGGATAGATTCTCTACTTTCGCAACACTTTACAGGGTACATGTGATAAGTATAATGATGCTTATCAAAACCATTACAAGGTACAATTGACGGTACTACAATGTTACTAATAAAAGATAAATGTAGAATCTTTATTTTGTTTTCCTTGCTTCAGAGAGCTGAGGTAATAATACGTCTAGCTGACCTCTTGATTGAAAGGTCATCAACCATCATGGCGGCTAACAGGAGGGACATTGATGAGGCTAGGCTAAGTGAGTAACCATGGAAAAAATATTTAATTTTTAGAATAGAGTTTAGGAAATGTGATCTTATAACCAGTGGTTTCATGGTAAGTTTTAATCCTAACTTCATTTGGGTGGTAATTTTTTAAAAATATTAACCGCCTACCCGTCAATTGTATAATGTTTATGGCTGCATCATGATAGCCACAGATATCCAACATGCATTTTTGTGACTTTCCTTTTAGTTTAATAGTTGGAAATTAATCAGGCATGTTGCTAGATCATCTGACTTTTTAAAACTGTTACTGGAGCTGATATTGAACTGAAAATCGACTTTTTACATAATTTTTTGTACAAGAATGATGGGAAATATGGAGCATACCATTTGGTATTTCCCATTTTTTCCTTGTACTTTGTCAGAAGAGAATCTTAAAGTGTACCAATTACCAAAATATTAGCTTCAAATATTACTTCTTGAAAGAGATATTGCAATTCGTATACATTCTAAGTGAATATTAAAACTTATTGTGGAGTAGACTACTTAATCTATGCGTACGCACATGCATAGAAAAAGGCTCACACGGAATCCACGTCCGACCTGGGTTTCGTGCAAGCCCTGTACGCTGGCTTTAATGTTATCCTTTATTTTCTCCGCACTCCTTAACCGTTTACCTAAAGAATTTTGAGGCTGATTTGATACATTCTAGCTACCAGTACATACAATTAATTTGTTCAGGTGATTGATACACTTTAAGACTTTGATGTCATTCTAATGTTTCAGTGTTTAAGAAGTTTAAATTCTTCACTACTCTCTTCCTTTTAAGTACATCATTGATCCACTGATTTTCTCTGATTTGCCACAGGTAATATGACTGGACCTAACCTGTCCAGACTAGCGCTGACCGATGCCAAGCTGAAGAGCCTGTCCGACGGTCTGAGGCAGATTGCGGCCACCTCTCACAAGAATGTTGGCCGAGAGATCAAGAGGACGTTGCTGTCCGATGGCATGTTGCTGCGACAGGTCACCGTGCCGATCGGAGTGCTCATGGTTATCTTCGAGTCCAGGCCAGACTGTCTGCCGCAGGTAGGCCAACATTTCGCAATCTGTTGCATAAATTCTATAAACATCACTGGAGAGTGGAAAGAAGAGGGGGCACCCGTCCTACTCGGTGAATGAAATTACTAAGGCCAGGGGAGGATGTAGAGCGTAGTCGTACCCTCTTCTTTTCACTTCTTTTCAGTTTCCTTCCCCCTCTCCCTTTTTCCTTTTTCTCCCTCTATATCTTTTCTTCTCTCTCTCTCTCTCTTTTCTTCTTTTTTGGAATTTGATTATCCCCTGCTGCTAAGCTAATGATGAAAAAACTATGAACAAGCTAACTTGTGGAACAAGGAGATATCTCAGGCTAGAGTTTATGGAAGAGGTGTGTTATATAAAAATGAAAATTTAGCCAACGGGAAAAGGTTTCCAAGGTGATTTTACTCTTTATTGCTGGATCAGGCAAAGAACAATACAAGCAAAAATAGATTCTACATTCTATTTCCATATTTATGCTTCTTGAAAATGGAATTTTTTAATTTTTTATTTTGTAGCTTGTAGGATATGCAGCAGCTTTTACGATCTGTTCTTCAACATTTTGTTTCTGGTGAAATGTGCGTTCATATTTAGTTTTTGTAAGTTTTAATTGGAAAGTTCTCTTATATCAGCTTGAAACCCATAACTCGAAAGATGGATCTCACTTTTATATTGCAGGTAGCAGCACTGGCCATCAGCAGTGCCAATGGTCTACTCCTGAAGGGAGGCAAGGAAGCAAGTTATAGTAATGAGGTGCTACACTCTCTAGTAGAAGAAGCCCTGGAGATGCATGATGCCAAAGATGCTGTAGCACTGGTAAGAGCATATTTTGCAATTTCTTTGGTGCTCTGACATTGATCAGGCGCGATGGCTCAGTGGTAGAGTAGCAGTCTCATAACCCGGTTCGAAACCAAGTCAATGTGCTTGTGCCCTTTGCTAACGCATAAATCCTCATTACCAAGTCCATCGGAGAGGACCTGAAGCCGTCAGTCTCCTGGTTGTTTTCTTTAATACAGTCAAACCTGTCTACAGCGAGCACCCAAGGGAAGCACAAAATTGGATCTTTGTAGACAGGTGTTCTTCGTAGACAGGTGGTCACTAAAGCAGGTTTGACTGTACAAGCATGTACATGCTTTCTTAGCAGTCGGGTAAAACAATCATTGATCATCAAACATTTGTTGAGACAATTGCTTTGGGCTTTATTTTGTCTAGGATGTAGCGTTAGGGTTGGAGTGGTATTGAATTTTAGGTTGGGGTTAGGTTTTAGGCGAGGTGTTGTGTATGGTCCAGGATTGAAGTCAGGAATGTGTTTAGTGTTTTATAGTGTAGCATATTTATTGCTAAGCAGTTTTTGCGGAGGATGTGTCATGCAACCCGTATCTGGTAGAACTTGGACTTGTACATTTATTGCTTTACGATGCTTGATAATGTTGATGAATGTATAATCGTATGACCCATTTGAAGCATGAGCTTTTTACTTGATACTAGTTTCCATCACCATTGAGAATTGAAATTTCATATAACTTTTTGAGCTTTCTTGAATATGTTCATTAAAGTTTGAGCATCTCATCAATCTGTGATATTGAACATGTAGTGGATTTTAATTTTTAATATGTTAATGTGGCAACCATATTCAACACCTTTAGTACAACTCATCAAAATTAAATGTAATAGAACTCACACCAATTCAATTAAAGGCCTTTCAATTATAACTTTCATATTTGTTGAATGTGTGACTGTGACTAACTAATCAGGCTCCCAATCTTTATGAACATATATAAACTTGACGTCCAACCCTTCACAGATCAGTACCAGAGAGCAGGTCGGTGACTTGCTGAAGATGTCCGACGACATTGACCTGGTCATTCCACGAGGTTCCAAGGAGATGGTTCAGCTCATTCAGCAGCAGAGTGAGGGTATCCCAGTCCTCGGACACAGCGAGGGCATCTGTCATGTCTACATCGACGAGGAGGCGGATCTCGACATGGCCCTGAAGATTAGTAAGAACGTGCATCATTAAAAACTTGCATTTGCATATAAAAAGAAAAAGAGAGAGAGAAGGGTGAGAGGGAGAGGAAGAGGGAGAGGGAGAGAGAGAGAGAGAGAGAGAGATAGAGAGAGACGGGGGGGGGGGGGGGGGGGGGGGGGGGGGAGTTGGGAGATAGAGAGAGACAGGGGGGGGGGAGAGAGGAGAAGATAGAAAACTTAGATGTGTAATGACAGCTTGCATGAGCAGAGAATCATTTGCACTATTTATAGGGGGCATGGATTCCAATTTAAGGGTGATGATATGCATGACATTTCAAATTAAAAGGTAAATAACAAAACAGCACTGATATAATTCAGAATGCTGACTAGTAATCTGTTGAACAATCTATCTTACATTGTGAGTTATGTCATATCCTTTGTATACAATTCCAATATTTATTTAGCAGTAAAAACTTTATACAAATCAGTCATGAGCATTTTACATGCGTCATAAAGAGACATAAGATTTTCTTGAATCACACAGAGGAGAATCAAGTCCAACATGCATGGCAATGTCACAAGTTTCAATTGTTTAGAACTGATGTCATGCCCATCTTCTGTTTGCATATGAAATAGGTGTACAATTTGTTCCAATTCATTTATAATGATATTTTTGTTCCGTTTATGACAGTCCGTGATTCTAAGTGCGATTATCCAGCCGCCTGCAACGCTATGGAGACGCTACTCATCCACAAAAAGTTCAGACATACTCAAGTCTTTGAAGATATCCTTGATATGCTGAGAGCAGAAAATGTACGTAGAAAGTTATTTTGACTAGACAACGCATTGCCTTTTGACAGAATGTTTGGCAATATTTATAAACGTGGATCTATAATTCTGTTTGTCAGAACCTCTCAAAAGCACACTAATATTTCCTGGGAATTATTTTACATGGTGTTTTTCAAACAATTTTTTAATGATTAGTCACATTCATTTAAAAGTGGCTTTTAGATATTGTTTCAGATATTAACAAAATTTATGATGAATTTAGACTTGCATTTTTGGTACTATATTTTGGAAAAAATGAGCAATAAGCATTTAAAGAGAGCTTCCTGACAAAAAGTTAAAGTTTTCATGTCATTGTTATTGACATCAAATAAAAATGTATGAAAATACTTGAAAAATTTGAAATTAAAAATACATATTGTTGGTGACATATGATAGCAAGTTTGTGTTTAATTACAATTTTCTCTCATTCATTAAATGCACCCTGGATGGTACTGAGAAGGCCACACTTTAAAAAATAAATTCAAAAGTAAATTTACTCATCCAAGCTTTCCTCATTCTATTCTCATATTAGGTCAAATTCAACCCAGGCCCTCGCTTGGCCCGATCCCTCAAGTTTGGACCACGGGAGGCAGACTCGATGAGCATCGAGTACGGTGGCCTGGAGTGCGCAGTAGAAATAGTTGACGACGTCACAGGTGCAATCAACCATGTCCACAAACATGGCAGCTCCCATACAGATGTGATTGTTACAAATAATGGTCAGTAGTTCTCTGTATTCTTTCCTTATGAACTCCTACAGCTCATTCGCATTTGCCACTTTTTATGCCTCCATTTAAAGTAGCCGGAGGCACTATGTTTCGGGTTGTCCGTCCGTATGACCCATTCTTGTGATCACGTGATCTCAAGAACCGATTAATAGATTCCTGCCAAACTTGGGTCACGTATGTATCTTGCAGAGCTAATGAGCTGGCTAGATTTGGGGGTCACAGGGGTCATTATGAATGCAAAAATAGCTCGTGATCGCATTATCTCAAGAACTGATTGATGGATTCCTGCTAAACTTAAGTCATGTTTGTATTTTGCAGAGCAAAATGTTGTTTATAATCTTGTAGGAAAATTCTAATGATACCAAATTTACTTTATTTCATCCATTTTTGTTGGTGCACAGAAAATATTACTCTTTCACATTATGTTTCTTTTTTGGTAAATTCTTTTAAAGTCACACTTCCAAAATGTCTTGCAAAAATCAGTAATTGTAAAGAAAATGTATATACTACCATAAAACTATTAATAGATAAGTGGAATACACTGTTCATGCCCTAAATATTGATCAGTATTGACCAGCACAAAGAGATTATCTTGTGATATATTTTTCCTGTTTTGATTTTAATGAAGAAGATTTTAGTGATAATGAAAGTTACAGTAAAACATATTTATCTTTTCTCATTTTCTTTTTCTGTCTTTGTGATTTCAGAAGAGACAGCGGATGAATTCATGAAGAACGTGGACAGTGCCTGTGTCTTCCACAATGCCAGCACTCGTTTCTCTGATGGATACCGATTTGGATTGGGTATGTTTCTAAACTTGGACATTTTAATGGGCTGTATGACAGGGGTCTGCTCACTATTTATAAGGACCGCTATAAAGACCACTTTTCACTTAGTCACGCATTATGGATAGGTCCTTATGAATAGTGGTCCTTATGAATAGCGGTCCTTATTATGAAAAGCGAGGTAAATTGTCTATGGTTTGCTTGCTATTAATAAGGGCTGCTATCCATAATGCGGGGTTTTTCGTGGGAGATTTCTGCCTGTCACCCACATAAGTGAATTATGATCTAGGTAGTTCAAGATGGATTGGGAAAATTATGAAAGACACCACCTATTTTGAACCTTGTTGAAGGTCATATCCCGTCACAGTGCCCTTCAATGAATATTGAAATGTACTCCAAAGAACAAAGCACAGGATGTAATACACTACCAATGAATGTGAGGGTATGAAATCAACAAGAAATCAACAAGAAATCAACAAACCGATGTCAATCAAAGTTTGAAATTCACTCTCAAGCAGGATGAAATCTACAGCCAATGAATTTTCAGTTTAGGTAAAATGTACACTGAATGGGTAAACAGGGAGGAATCTAGGTCACAGTTTGGCCCAGGATGTGATTGGGTGGTTAATTTTCAAACGTTGAAAATCAAGACCCTGATGGGTTATGCTATGGAGTGATTTACTGATTTGTCCGAAATCAAAGTATATGTCTTTTTATGATGTAAAGAATGAGCTGGATTCTATGAGGGGTAAAAGGGCTATTGATGTCTAACGTTAATGATAATAATGTTGGTGATAGAATAATAATAATAATAATAATAATAGCGGTAATAATAATAATGATGGTAATGATAATAATACTTATACTACAATAACAACAATGATTATGATAATGAGTATAATGATAATAATCATGATGATGATGGTAATGATTATGTAGATGATGATAGAAATAATAATAATAACAGCATTAAATTATGGTTCACAATATGCTCAAGTTGCTGGAAAAGCTAACACATGGTCAGGCTAAAGTGATATAGACTATATGCTGGGGATGCTAGAAAATAAAACGGATGTTCAGGATGATTTCACAAAGAGTGTAGGTTCAGGTTGCTTGAAAATACATTTTCAAATTGATATGGTATGGAGTAGAGCAAATTATTCATCACGTTGAAAGTGTGGAGATTACATTACAACGAAAACTGAATACATTTGTACATGGATAGCATTATGAAAACAGTGTTGAACAAGTATGTTTTGATAGAAGACTTGTACTTCCATGCAGTTGTGTCATGTAGAAGCTTGAAAGCCGATCGGTAATGGATTATAATGTACAGTATATAAGAACTGGCTTATTAAACCTGTAATAATCAACAAACTCATTAATTTGTGAAAATATACTAAGTTTTTTTAATCAAAAGTTATTATCTAGGATACTTCAAACTTACACTGATATCAATCATCAATTTGTATACTTTTATTGAAATCAACGTCATACCAGTCTGGAATTACCCTTAGGTAGAAATATTTCTGTCCTGTTTAGTAGTGCCTATTTGTCTACCGGGTAATGGTTATTTTTAACCAACAATGTGAAGTGTTTGGCTTTTTCTATAGTATATTAAAATCAGGTTAATGACTTAAAGCCCCACGGCACTACTTAAAGCTACTTGCGCCCTCTATATAGCAAACAATGCCTAATCAGTGACCATTGGTCCCCCATGGTCCCATTTTTGTTATTGTTTATTGAGAGCTGATTCGATTAGATAACCACCTGTCAGTGACCCTGCAGGGAGGTCTAATCCTCCTGGCCAAACTAGTACAGACGGGCTTTAATATACTTGTTTCTGTCATGAATTTTCTTCAGGAGCTGAAGTCGGTATCAGCACCACAAGGATCCACGCCCGGGGACCGGTTGGGGTGGAGGGCCTCCTCACCACCAAGTGGATCCTTGAGGGATCCGGAGACACTGTGCAGGAGTACGCAGCAGGAGGGAGCAAGATGTTTGTACACCAGGAGCTCGAGGTGGAGAATGGGGAGGAGGTCCTGGAGTCTTCATCAGCATAGAGGTATCAGGGAAGTCCCTCTGTTCCATGGAACTTTCCATTTCATAAGTTCAGATAATATTGTAGAAGAAATGTAGAATACTGATGAAACAAATGACTAACCAAAGAAAGATCTTGTATACCACTTCACCCTGTTTGCACGATGTGAAGACATGCCCATATATCTCATTTAATCTTTGACACCTGACGTCATACGCAGCTTGCTGGCTATCTGCGAACTGGCTTATTATCATTCTTGAAGATATGGAAAGATGTTGAAGAGAGATTTGTGTATTTTATTGGTTCATAATTATTATCCCTGCCAGTACAAACATCAGAAAATGTACTAACCATCTTTTCTAATACCGGTAGTTAATAAGTCTTTTTTTGACAAGTAAATGGTATGTTTTGTTTGAACATGAACTTGTGTCACTGTTTACTATGTGATAATGAAAGTGTTAATGGTGTTGATGATGATGGCGATGATAAAGATAATGATGATAAAAAAAGATGATGAAAATGATCTGAACTTTTTCAAGGGTCATGCTTGTGATTATAGGATTATGAATATTCTGCATGTCACTGTTAAAATTATGAGGATTTTTTTTTATAATAGTGATAATGTATGTGTTGATCTTTTATTCATCTTCATCATTGTATACAGCTCTTGTGTGTTATAATGCTCTTTATGGAATGGTCGAAATATTGAAAACGTCTTCTTATGTGCTATAAAAATTATTGCATAAATAATTTTGAAATTAGAGAGCCTTGGTTATGTGAATTTTGATTTCTCAATAAGCATCTTCAGTCCTCACATTAGGGTGCACAGCTGACAGAAGAAATTGTTTAATAGGAAAGTGCCTTGTGATGAGTAAATAATTAAAATGGTTATTGTCATTGTTAATCCTGTTAATTTTATCCTGTAAATTAATTTTGGAATATGTTTACTTTCCTTCTCATTCAGTTCAGCTTTGAACATTTCAAGTACTTCTTGTTAGATATTTATTTCTAAGGTCTTTTTCAAAGTTATCAGTTGTTGAGCTTCCTTTCAGAAACCATTTGGTCTTGTCCACTGTGTAACCAGAAGTATTAGATATATTTAAGATTAGTTTTATTTCTAGCAGCATTTACATGAGGCATATTTTAGAACTATCGCCAGAAATCATCATTCTTTCTTGGAGCCAAAAGCATGCACGTTATTTATTCAAGGACACCCGTAATTCATTGCAAGAATGTATTCATGTACTGAAATGAATTACCTTGCTCTATGAAAAAGCAGCTCAAAAAAAAATTTGTGGATACTGAATATATAGTGTTCCCCACCACTTGAATAAAATGTGATTTAAATTTATCATATATGATTTATAAGCAGGGTATTTGGTATTTACCATTTCTTTGTTAAGTATTATCTACCATCTACATTCCTTGACACTTCAATATTAGGTATTCACTTTCCATAGAAAAGCCTTTTTTTGGCTTATATTAATAAGCTATGTAAACATTTATTTCATTCTTAGTAGATATAGCTTTATGTATACCTTTAAAATTTAAAGCAGTAAGTTCTAAGGAACTATCCTTCCACCCTCTATATAAGTATTATCTGTTTATGCTAGAAAGTTAGAAAATAGACATAAGCATGTAGCTGTACTAGAAACCGGTTGTAGTATATGGAAAGAATGATGTAACTATATAGGCCTATCATTTTAGAAATGCATAGTTTCAATTTGTAAATTCCAGTGTATTATTGTCAAGACTCGATTTGCCATTCTTGTCGCACTTTCAATGTATTCGCAAACTAATAAGTATGTTTGATATGACGTAAAGTCACTTGTTTTCTCATAATCTGGTACTCTTTCTATGAAGACAATAATGACAGAAATTGGTTGATTATCATGCTCATGTACATATTTTTTGAAGGTGCCAAACAATGATCTGAAATGGATTTTGTGCTGTTCAATTCTTATTCATCCTCAAATAAATGTGCATGTTACCTTGATGGGTTTTACCATTTTATTTATGACTATTGATATTTCCACTTAGAGATGCGCTGCTCATATGTGCCACGCAACAACTGGACAATGTTTCATAAAACTTGTTACCAGTAGCAAGTTCCAATAACCGATAGCAAATTCGCCATAGAATTTTAGAATTCATTGATAACAAGTTTTTTTAAACAGGGCCCTGTTTTTTAAATTTTATCTATTTTTATTTTGTTTAGTCTGTATTAATCTTAAATTTGACTACATCAGGCAGCTTTGCCCTACTTCAGTCGAATCATCTTTTAACTTGACAAACCACATCTATTTGCTATCCAGGACCACCATCATTACTTTGTGCAATATCTGCAGCTTTGCAGTACGTCACTGGACCCCTTAGACCTTGACTTCGTTAGGCTGATAGCTGAAGTGTATGATAATTTAAGATACTAGTTGTGAAGCATTTCATGTAGTTATGAACCTGATTGACCACCTTTAGAAGAAGCGCCAAGAGTGTCGAGTCTGACAGACATGAGCGCTATACAAGAACCCACAATTATTATTATTATTAAGAAGGAATGTGTCAAGAGAAGGTGTGATGTACAACACACAACACCATTTAAAAATACAAACGGCAAAGAATTTCGTTGAGAATTAGTCTTTAAGAAGATGAATATTATTTTAAAAATGTTAAAGATGGGAGGCTGTGAAGAGATAATGAAGTTAGTTGCCTTTTTGTACTTATTAGCAAAATTTTGCATACCCCTGTCAAAAATGTATTGGAATTGTGATTTTCTCTCAGAATCTTCAGTGATGACTATTTTATTATTCTGTTCTACACAATAACATAATATGTTGCTGCTTTGTTAAACACTTAAAAGGTCGTTGTCATCATCATTATTTTTTCAATGAGAATGTAATTTATGTCACAAATTTTAATCTGTAGTTTGAACCATTTATTGGAGATGGTTGAATAGGAAATAAGACTTCACATAATTTTCATTCACAAATACGGTAGTTTGCAAAGCTACTGGTCATTGAGATATGCCTGTATTATGCTACATTTGCTACAACAGGTAAATATAAATATGTTGTAGTATTTTTTATTTTTTATTTATCATTAATGTCTTCATATTATTTTTTTTTGCCTATTTAAAATTTTGATTATACAGTGTATATGCATTATCAATGATTTTGATAATGATGAAATCTTGTAAAAGGCTTCACCCGTCAACTTAAAATATTTTTGAAGAAAATTGATTGGACAGGAATGAGATGTATAATGGCTAAGAAATACTCATTAAATGGCATTATACATTTACTAACTTTTGTTCTCCTTGCAATTTATTTTTGTTATCTCTTACCTTAATCTCCTATCACCTCTAATCACCTCAACCACCTCAACCACATGATTCTATATACAACACTCGGCTTCCGCAACTCTTGCTCTGCAATAATTTCCTACACAAACCAACTTCCGACTTCAACCCTAGACCGAAGGTATAGAGTGGTGAAGTGTGACGTCATCACAAATCTTTTTTTTGAATTTCTCAATTTTTTCTTCATTTTACGAAGGAGCATACAAAATAATGTCCAAATGTCGAAAACCAATTGAATATGTGCAGTATTGGCTGAGATATGACAATCTGAATAAATAGATTTCCTAAAGGAGCTCAGTGTTATTTTGCTCTGGTTCGCAATGTTATGAACCAGAGCAAAATAACACTGAGTTCCTATAGGAAATCAATTTATTCAGATGGTCATAGATCAGCCAATACTTAACATAGGCCTATTCAATTAATTTTCGACATTTGGACATTATTTTTTTACTCTCTTTTAGAAAATGAAGAAAAATTGAGAAATTCAAAAAATAGATGTGTATGATGTCACAGCTTCGGTACCCTAACTCTAAATCTAACGTCATAACCAATTGCAATCCTAATCCTGTACTTTTAAAGCCCTTTTAAAGGATATTGCCAGAACATTTGTCGTACAACTAACCTCACAATCAAATCTAATGGTCGCCCATCACAAACGCAACCATATCACCATTACTACAACCACCTAAAACCATGTCTACTTTTGAACATCCCAACTGCCATCATTAACATGGGCACCTTCCCTACCATTACAACCACTGTCAATGTCATCATTACCACGAACACAATTGACTACATGTATCACCAATTAACCAAAGCCATTACAACTACATTTTGTAATAAATGGTCCTCTTAACGTCATTTGGCAAGACATTAATCTACATTTGCCACTCTACTGTTGAATTAAGGGTACCCAGTAGGAAGAAATTCCTTGAATGCTTTACCGCCTTATGACGGCTCAGCAATAGCCGGGCTAATACTTTTTATTAAGCACAGTAGAGTACATGTACTTTCATATAGTATCTGCGTTATTTAAATGAACCTGTTATTGTTATTATTATTATTATTATTATTATAACTATTCAGAAGGTGATTATGCTTTATCAGGGAGGCTCCAGGTTTATATTCTTTATCTTCAGCGTGAAAAAGTAAATTCTCTATATTTTAGTTACTGGTAGAGACTATCTCCCCCCAAAAGAGCGCATGGATAATATGAGAATGAATAAGTATACATGACAACCCATTTTACCATTCTGGATGAAATAACTTGAACAATAAAAACAGAGGGAGTTTTTGGCACTTGTATGTTTAATGATAGTTCTTACACAACAAGACACTGAAACACATTATACAGATATACATGTATTTTGCATACATTTAGATCAAGCATACTTGACGCATCTACTCTTATACATTCATGGGGAAAAATAAACTTATTCCTCTAACATTGTTTTTTACATTTGTGGACAAGAGCGACAGCGGGAGTGTACGGGAGGAGGTGTCCTATAATCTCTTCTCGTCCGTTTATGCCTCCCCCTTTCATTTTCTTTCCTTGTCTCTTTCCCCCTTTCCCCCATTTTCACCACGCACATTACGTACCACACAGAAGAAACTCGTTTACTATGAAGTGAGACAAATTTGATACATTTGCATGAAAGTGACTACAAAATGATTAATTATGGATATATTGTACGAATTGAACTTGTGCTCGAGGTTCTGATGAATGTTTGAACACATTTAAAAGATCACAAATATTATAAGTGGGGAGAGTAATTGTGTAAGCGATGCCAAGGCAACGAGACAATAACATTACCCTTGATAACTTTCAAACATCATTGTGAAAACATTATGACGAATATTTTAGAAGGAAAGAAAGTAGTATTCTGAGAGTAGGGGCAGTAGTAGTGTACGTATAGTTTAGTATTAGTATTAGTAGTAGTAGTAGTAGTAGTAATAGTAGTACTAGTGGTATAGAGTAAAAGAAGAAGTAAAAAACAACAGTAGTAGAAGCAGCGACAGCAGCAGCACTGGTGTAGTAGTAGTACGTATAAGTAATATATATCGTTGTCATTGTAGTAGTAGAAGTAGTAGAATATACATGTAGTATCTATTATTATTATTAGTAGTAGTAGTTGTTGTGAAAAGTAGTAGCTATTAAAGTTATAGAAGTAGCTTCGTAATAGCAGTAAGTAGAATAGTAGAAGAAGTAGAGTAATAATATTTGTAGTAATAGAAGTAGTAGTAGTAGTAATATTATAGTAGTATAGTAGTAATAGCAGTAGTAATAGTAATATTAGTTGTAACATGATTAGTAATAGAAGTGTTAGTAGTAGAAGAAGTAGTAATAATAGTAGTAGTAGAAGAAGAAGTAGTAGTAGCAATAGCAGTAAAAATAGTAAGCAGTGTTGTAGACAGTATTCTAGTAATATCAGTAATAGAAAAGTTGGCGTAGAGAAGTAATATTAATAGAGCAGCAACAGCAGCAGCAGAACTAATAGTAGTAGAAGAAGAAGTAGTAGTACTAGTAGTAGCAGCAGCAGCAGCAGCATCAGCAGTATTAATTATAGTATTAAGTAGTCGTCGTCATCGTCGTAGTTGCTGTTGCTGTAGTATAGTAGTAGGAGCAGCAGCAGCATTAGTAGTTGTAGTAATAGTAGTATTAGTAGTAGTCGTCGTCGTCATCATCGTAGTAGTAGTTGCTGTCGGTGTAGTAGCAGTAGCAGCAGCAGCAGCATTAGTGATTTTACGGCTACATGTTATAGCAAGAGTATAAAAGTAGTTAGATAATCATACCACCCATCTTCATTAGGTTTTAAAATTAGTATTCATGATAGTTGAAGATGTGATTAGAAAATTCAAAGGAAAATATACTAATTGAGGATGAAAAAATGAGGAGGGGAAAGTAAAAAGGTAACCTGGTGGGAAATAGTGGAATTAAAGGTTAATTTCAACATTTACTTAACTTATATCATATTCATGAATTAATCATATTTTACTGATCACGTAACAAAACATTGTATGTATAACAATTACCCGTCTGATTTGTATCACATATACATACCAACATATTTAACTTAACATATAGTTTATAATAATGTGTACATGTACTTTAATATATTTTTTTATACATTATTTACAAACATTTAGTAGTGTCATCTTAGCAGTGAGCAAAATGAGACCTTTGGACTAATAAAACTGTTCTCATGTGTGAGGTTATTACATTCTTCTGATGTAGATTCACAAAGTATTTTACATTAACAATTATCATTAACGCGATTATATATCAAAAAAGAACTTTAAAGGGAATGTTATGGTATGACTACGATAACAACATAATGGATTTTCTTCTTGGTTACCCTTACCAAATCACCAACGATCAAAATTCAAGCAGTTGGTGATGCAACTGTTGGACATCTTGAATGCCTTGCAAGAAAAGATTTGATGTCTCTATGCATAATGCACATTATGACGCATCATTTCGATTGCGTCGTTTCTGCGCCATTCGAACATAATTATATTTGGGACATTTAGCGCTTGTACGAATAATTCAACGAATCGATTGTACTGTTCATTTTGCATGTTTTGCATTCATGTTATGTACGGCATCGCTGTCACAAGGCGTTAAACAGAATTGTGCAGGTTGCCGAAGTAATCCTACGTCAGCATAATGACGCTTCACAGGCAAAGGGCTTTAAACTGCAGATCATCTTCAGCCCTAATCATATTCAAGTGTCACAATGCTGTGCTTTAACATGCATGATCAACAGACTTCTTGGTGAATCGGAAGCTTGAGGTACTGGACAAAGACCGACTAGACATGGAGCGTCTCCGACCATGAAGCGACCCGCACGGGAGAACGGACTTGAAGGCAGCACGAAATTTCGTTGAAATGAGGTTATAGAGGATTGGATTGATGGCGGAGTTAAGGTAGACAAGAACCCGGCATACAGTGACGAGCGCAACAATCTGTTGTGGGGTCAGACGTTTGTGTTCTTGTGCCGTGCTGTAGATGCCCCAGAGATTGAATGCACGGTATGGCATCCAGCAGATGAAAAACACCACCACTACGTTAGCGAGCATGAGGATCACGCGCTGGTGGTTCCGGCGGGTGATCGCGCTGGCTGTACGTGGGGACGTCATCGATGACCTCTTTACTGAGCCTTTCGCATCGGAGTTCCTGCTGGAGCGGGATGTCATTGACGTCGACGTGTGATGCCGCTGGATCTTGTTCCCGTAGATTGTATGAGCCGGTTTGTCTTTCAGAGATTTCTGCTTCCAGCTGCTCGGTGTGTCCTGGCGCTTCAAAGGCGGCGACTGCGCGCTCCGGCTGCCGCAGTCCGCATCTCGACTGTGGAGCGCAGCTACCATGACGTCATCATCGCGCGAGGGATTTTCCTGTTCAGCGATGATATGGAGGTCTGTCAGCCTTTCCTGGGTGCTGTCATCTTGACGCCCCTGATCACCCTCATGTTGTGTCTTCCAATGAACCAGGCGAGACAAACAACCGCAGTCTAGCCTATGGAAAAGCTCACTGAAACAGTTCCTACCCTTGACAGTTTCGCGTTTCTTCAAAGACGCATCACGTTGCTTCAGGTTCATTGACCCATCCTTTGCCTTCGTTCGAACACTCCCGCTCTCAGATTCATTATCCCGAATGTTGGCCATCATGTAGTTATGCTCACGAAGGGTGTTGGCGATGATGTAATAGATGCACGAGAGGAAAAAGAACGGAAGGAGAAAGAACATCACGGTGGTACCCGTCTCGTAGACCTTCTCCCACTGTTCGTCGATCAATGGCGCGCAGTAGTACCGGAATTCACCTTCATGCACGCATTCGGGCACATAGATGATGGTCATCAACAAAGGAATGTTCACCAACGCAGAGAAGATCCACACGAGGAAGCAAACCACCAAGGTTCGTCGAGGGGTGCAGATGTAGTGGGCCTCAAACGGGGTGCATATTACGTAATAGCGTTCCACGGCGATGGCGAGGAGGGTGAGGATGGAGGCGTTGGCGGCCAGGTTCTCGCTATACGGTACGAAGTAGCCTGCAGAGACAATAATGTGTTAAATTTATTAGCAATACTACCAAAAAAGTAGTGGACCTAGCATAGCATTCTAACAATGAATTAAGAAAGTACATGTACTGTATATGAGATGTATGACAGAGGAGGAGAGAGAGACATAAGAAGAAGAGCGAGCGAGAGAGAAAGAGAGAGAAAGAATGAGAGAGGATGGGACAGAGAGGGAGAGAGAGAGAGAAAGAGAAGGAATACAAAGAAATGAAAACTGGGGAGAGGGAGAGAGAGAGATTTTCCCCATGTTTTAATTATTCTTATTTAAAAACAGAAAGGGGTGGGGCTGACCTCGCTGATACATAAACCTAACACGTTATGTCAAAACGCAAAGCCTCATTATTAAGTCAAGATACACCAGTCGATGTTAAGGAACAATGTCAACAATTTCACTACAAGTGACCTAATCTCGTAAATGGCGTAAACGATCACCCATTACTTCTATAGATGCCTGACAATCTATTTTATGTAATGTATGGTAATAGTTATAATTTTAGGCTCCCTAAGGCACCCCAACAAATTTAAGGAAATTGTTTTCATTTCATTGATTTCTTTTGCTAATTCAAATAATGCCAACTCTCATTCATCTTTGCGATTTTCACGATAAAATGTAAGCACTTTCATTCTCTTATCACTTATTGATAATTTCCTTATTGTACTGCCAATAGAAGGGGGGGGGGGGGTAAGAGCCCCCCCCCTTTTTTTTTGTCCCGAATATTTGAAAATCGCGTCGGCCGCAAATTCGTTCTGTGGTGGGGGAGTGCACACTAACTTTTTTGTTTTGTTTTGTTTTCCAGTACATTTTTGGCGAATTTGGGGCTGATTTTAACACTTTCTTTTGGGCCGGGGGTGGGGGGGGGGGGGCACGTGCCCCTATGCCCCCCTGGATCCGTCCCTGCGTATGAACATGCTTGTTGAAAAATCTCTCGACTTTAAAGAAACTTGACAAAAAAGGACAATGCTTCCTCTCAATAAAAATTGTGCGTCTCGGTTTGCTATAGATTGCGAGGTTTGTGAGATGGTTGAGGGGTACTTGAATACACAGAATACAAACACGATATAATGGGGAACCATCTTGAGTTCTTCTTCAGTTTGCTGGAAAAGAAATATTAACTGATGGAATGATTTCCCTTAGGACGAATATATACAGATGACATTATATTGGTGCTGTAAATGAGAGAACTGGGGTCAAAATCAATCACTTGGATTTCGCGGATTTCCAATTTTCTAGAATTCTCTAGAGACGAGCTATAGCCCTACATGCATGTTGTACGCGATGTTTGAAGCATTTTTGTCACTCTGTATATGAATATGGGGAGCTCTGGCTAATTCCATGGAGATAGAGACAGTCAATAGGAAAAATAAATGTCTTGATTTAATGTAAGTATAATCTATACTATCCAAGTTTTTGTATCGTAAATTCCTATCTAGCGTTAGTGGTTAGTCACTCAAATTACGATACGAAAACTATTTATATAACAATCAATTATTATGAATATCCAAAAAGTATAGTATCAATTCTTCAAAGTTCATAAAATATTTGGTGAAATGTCATGCACGCAATATGATACAAATCATATACCCGGGGCAAAGGCATGGGTAAATCAAGTATTTGGGGATAAAAAGGGAAATGAATGGGATAAAAAATATATAAAGCAATTGATAAATAGTCAGGCAATGACGTCACAAACTGATAACCAAATCGCCAATTTGTGTAGTGATCTTCTAATCTCCATAGTTTTTCATACTTTAGACAAAAATTCATAACTTCCTTATTCTGTTATCCGATTTTAATTAATTTTTCTCTGTTTCTCTTGTGGACTTTACTTAGCCTTTAAGTCCTCTCTGAGGGGCAAGGCATTGGGATTTATGCCTAATACCGAAGGGCACTAGCCCATCGACGTGGTTACAAATCCGGAATGTCCCTACTACGAGACGACTGCTCTACCACTGAGCCACCGCGCCTCCATCGCCAAACCCTCAATCCGATTAAGGTCCAGTGAGTGACTTGTAATGATGAGGCGGATTGTACTTAGGCTACATGTCCCATCCATTTGTATGCCCTTAATTAAAAAAGTCTTTTCATAATTTAACATGCTAGTCTTATGGGAAGTATACATGAAATTTCAATTAAAAGGTGTATTACAGGTGTTTCTGTTGTCATTATACCCCTCAAGTCTCAACACCTCTCATTTCACAACAGTTTTGCCACCTTGTTCTTTTTTTAAAGTAATCTCGTACAATGTTAAATGATCATTGTCTAAATCATGAATATTATCATTGTGCTTTCATGAAAATTTAATACATGTATGTCCTGTTGCATCTATACAAAAAATAATCTTAAAACAGTTTTCATGCTTCATAACTACAGTTCTTTTCATTAATGTAATATCCAACATATTTATCAAATTAAAGAGACACGCAAATAACTTAATGACGCTACCAACTGGATACAGTTGACTATTACTCTAATGATTAACTTATTGGACTTGAAGTTCAAAATAGAAAAAGTAAATACAGCGTATCGGGTCTTTTTTTTTATCAAAGGAAAATTGAACGGAATCGGCCATACTTTTGTTAGGATGAGTAAAATAAATTAGTCCTGTTTGATTAACCAAGTATCAGAATATGAAATGACAAATGATATATCCCACCGCTGGCGCATATTTATGCCATGAAGTGAGTGTCGGATATAAATCTGGCAATATCTCAAACAGATGGCATCTGTAGCAGGCCGGGCTTGAGAAAGGTCAAGTAATACTCTTGAGACAGAATGATGTCCGAGGAATCGGGGGATTAATAAGACTCTGAAGCGCATCAGATGATAACCAGATAAGTATAGAAATGAAGATAAAAAGAAAGGAAAATAGGTCGATGGTATTCCAAAGAAGCACGAAGTTAAAGGTGCTAGATTACAAAAAAGAAAATCGTGTTCTATCTCCTGACTACTGGGATCACTCAGAGCTTTTTGATGCAACTGGTTGGAAATATATTGTACCTTTAAGCTTATATAATATAGGTCATAGAAAAAGAACATTGAGGATGAATTTACGGTACTGTATATTACTGGTCTTGAGAAAGTTAAACACATCATAATTGTTATGCCATACAATCCAGGTGGTATTTTCTTTATATTCATTTCTTAAGGAGACACCTGTGTTTAATCCTTAACTCGTTATATACTCTTTTGCGCACGTAACCAGGAGAGAAGATGAGAAAGAGAGAGAGAGAGAGAGAGAGGGGGGGGTGCGTGTGCGTGTATTTGCGCGTGTGCGTGTCAGAGAGAAAGTGAGAGAGTTAGCACAAGAAATAATACGAAAAGGGTTGGGGACAGAGAGACAGATCTAGAGCGTGAATGAGAGAGAGAGAGAGAGAGAGATATATAGAGACAGGGGAGTAAGAGAAATAGATACACATTCAGCATGTTCAGAGACATTAGATGCATACAGCTACGATAAGAACGGAGAACTTGGAGAAATTGAAAGGATTGGGAAAGAGAGAAAAAAAATGAACGAGGGAGCTAAAGAGCATATCTTTTTATGACCAAATTCCAGTGAATCTTGATATATTTTCTGGACTCCATAAATGTCAGCAATGGAAATATTTGTATTGAGTTATTATTTTAATTCTGAAATGATGATAGTTTATTAGTCAGTTGGGGTGCATCAATTATTCTTCTTTTAGGGCAACCCCTATTTAGGAATGTGCCATAAAACTCAATTAAAATCAAACGTTTGAAACGTATCACATTGTTGTCCCTTATAACAGGTTCATCCCTCTCCAGTAGATTTACATGCAATAAGGACCTCAACCACGAAGGCCGATATGAACATTCTTGTTTTATGGTTCAAATCGCACTGTTAGAAACAAATGTAAATATTGCATTTACAATAATTTTCCCCATAAAAACATTTGTAAGTAATGGGGATTATTAAACAGTTATCAAATATTACCAAAATACCACATTATTATTAAAAGGGAGCTATATCTAACGACATAAGCACAGCGACAGTGTCACTTTTAGATTACACCCGTAGGCATATATCTCCAAGAAATAAGCAAAATGGTACATTATTATTTTCAAAATACATTTTTGTCCTTACCCACGCAACATGAATTTACTTTCTTTGTGCATTATTTTTTATTTTGAAGTTCTGCCTTTGGCAAACCACGACCCTTGGTATCCCTAATATATTAACCCACTCGAGAAAAGAGGAGTCTCTTGAATCATGTTTGCACTATTTTTTTCTCTCAATGGATTTAATGGAGGATGAGTGACGTGAGGTCATTAATGAGTAATTCATTCCAAAGACAGCTCAGTCGTTTTTCCATGTAACACCACTCGCATCTTTGATCATGAATAGTTATGAAGAGAGGTTAAAATGGCGCTTAATTATTTAGTGCGTTTATACGTCTAATGGCGCGAAAGATCGATCTTTTATTGGAATATATTTCCCGCTCGTGATGTCTCCGAGGAGACGAAGACTCTCTTTTTATTGACTGAGTATCCTTTTCCCTCTAGAATATGTTTAGATCTCCAAAGGAGGTACGCTAACTTTGTAATATATTGAAAATATGCGTGGGATGAGAAATGACCTGCTATAAAATTATGGATAGTTTTTCACTTATTCGTCAAGTTTGGTGCAAAACATGTCGACTACGCGAATCGCAATTTTAGTGGTGTCTTTGAGTGTGTGTGTGAGAGAGAGAGATAATGAGAGAGAGAAAAAAAAAAGGGGGGTTGGGGGAAAGGTCAATAGGCTATTTAGAAGTACAACCGGTCCGAGCCCCTGTGTGGTACCCTTTTAGTATAGGCCTACCCTAAGTACACACTCATACACGCACACACACACACACACACACACACACACACAAAACCCTCAAACAATACCATCTGAATAGTTTTATACAATTTGTATTCCCAATTGTTTTCTTCTCCATGACAAAATCCTAACCTGGGTTTCCGAATAAAA